AATGTTCTGTCTTTTGATTCAGATTTTTCTTTACCAACAAAACAGATTAGACACATCACATGAGGAAATTGAGCTTTGAAGTGAGAGAATGAGAAAGATTTCAGGGTCTGCTTGAAGATTTCTTTTTCGAACAGATAAGTTACAGGAGGAGGGCGACTTTTCACAGGCTATGTCTGGATAATCCTTTTTTTGAAGACTTTCAAGCAGCTTCCCTCAGGCAATCAGCCTAAAGTGCTTGGAGTGAAGACCAAGAGAGACAGAGTTTATTTTGTACCTGCTGCTACTGTTATGTCTAATAGCATGAAATCTTGATGTGTGCTGCTAACACCACCGAGCTCTGAATCTCATGCTTGCTGGAACAGACCGTTCCGGGTTGTTTCCCCTTCTTTTTCGGTAGAACTGATCTATTGCATTAGTGTGTTGCAAATGTAGTGAAATGACATTATTTCATCTCATAGCCACATCCCTCAGGAGATTTCATTGTGATTGCAAGTTTCACCAAAATGAAAGCCTCCATAACAGAGAAGTGGAGGTAAATACAACAAAATATTTTATCCTCTGATACTCTTAAGTAAAACCCAGTAAGCAGGGATTAAGTTATAAAACATACTCCAACTTTCGCAAAGTTTAAAAAAAAAAAAAAAAAAACTAAATACCAGTAAACGCCACTCAAGTCAGTCGATGTAATGACAAAAAATATGATGGAATTTCAAGAAAGTTGAAGGTTTTGCATGCAACTATGTCTGTAGCTTACCTGTAGCTTACCTGGTTAATCTCAAAGGCCGCTTCAGGCACTGGAAAAAGAGAATAATACTGGTAACATTATGGTTGCTATTGGCAAGCACCTCTTAATTTACAAATGAGCGTAATTTGTGGTGGCTGATCTTCTGTGACACAACAAATTCAGCACTGTTGGATGTTGGTCCTGCAGCACAACTGGCATCACCTTAATTAGTATTAATTACATACAGGTGTTGCAGTCTTCCTATATAGTCTAGCTGAATGGGTGTTTGCCTGCCATACATTATTCCTTGCAATAGCTGTGGCCCTTTTTCCTACCTATGCAGTTGGTGAAGGTGCTTCAGCTTTTCCTTCAGGTTTAAGTGACAAATACGTCTTGCTTTAAAAGACAACGCTAACCACAAATGTAAGCAAGGTGAGAGTTATAAATCTGCGATAAAAAAAAAAAACCAACCAGATTGTTATGTTGAATTGTTCAATTGAAATTGTTTACTGTAGTATTATTTTCCCTTTAGAAATGTAAAATAAATAAAATTAAAAATAAAACATTTTATCAAACCACAGTACACACAATGAAATGTTTCCTTTGTTTGCACAATAGGTACACTTGTCGCCAAAGAATTCATGCAAAATTATTACATTCCCTAATCCACAGACTTTATTGCTTCTATTACAGGAATTGTATTGTTTTTGTATTGCGTTTAATCACTTGCAGAACTCGAATAAATGAAAACCAAGCATGGATGGAAAAGATTTGACAAAGAACTAATAAAAAATGCAAACACGAGGGTGGAAAAAATAAATAAAAACAAAGCCCCTTTAATGCAATTACTCGTCAGTTATTGTTAAACTACAATATTTCATCAATATGACATTCATCCTATATTTTTTATGAATGGTATTTGTTTCTTAAATAATAAACTAAGTGTATTTTAGAAGGGAAAATACAATTTTCTCTTCTGCCTAAACACAAAGAGTTGTTAAGACAGAAAAAAGTGTCACAGGAAGAGCAGATGATAGGTTGTAGGCCACAGGATCTCAGAGGAAAGCGTGTGCATGTAATTAATGCTCAGGACTGGGTGAATGTAGAAATGTTCTTTTGGGAAGATGCAGCTTTGAGCTCAGGTCAGACACACAGATCTCCAAACTCAGAGCATGAGTGACCTCTTTGTACCTTTGAATTATCATAAATGCATTTTGATCACTCTATGCTTCTTTATTTTTTTCTACAGATTCAAAAGGTTAAAGCAAGACAAACGCCTGGATGTAACATGAATATCCAACCCTACTCGTGTCTGTAGATTTACTATGCTATCTTTGAAACCCAGGTTTGATCATTTATCAACTATTTTCAACTAGGCATTTTGTAAATAAATATTTTGATGTTTTATTAAATGTGAATGTGTTTTCTAGCAGATGTCGAGTCCAACATTAATTCTTCCGCAACATAAACTGCTGGAAATATTTGCCTTGAAACGTTTGCATGTTCCTTTTATATGTGGAAGTGTTTCCCAGATACACCAGTGTCCAAAAACACATGCATAATGTGGGGAAGTGTGGTGAAACGGTCAAAACAGATAAATAAAACGCAGCATCATCCACCAAAAAATCTGGAACAAATTCCAAAACCTGGTGAAATTTATTGGTTACCATTTATTTTAAGCTCTGAGCATCTGAAATCATACTGGTGTTCTACCAAATTGGCAACACAGGTGCACTTCATTAGACCATACCATAGCAGAACAGTTCAAACCAAACAACACGATCTAACTAAACAGAAAAACAGGAATACAATTATTAATCCAATTTACAGATTCATCTACGTAACAGAATAGTCTGCAAAATAAAACATGTGATACAGGGCAACTCAAAAATTACTTAAAATTAAAAAATAAACGATCAATGGAAAACAGAAAACCCTCCATTCAGTACAGCCCAGTAATATAATCAGTGACATCATAGAGCCATTTAATCAGGAAATGCTGTGCCGGCCCCTCATATACGCCTACTTGGGCAGTAGCATCTATAATTGAACAAACAATGGTGAGTAAAAAAAAAGAAAAACAAATAATTTACCACAAATGTGTCTTGGCATTTAGTCCAGGGTTTAGCCAACAAGTTGCTAAGTGGCAATAGAAAAACCTAAAACTTTAGGTTTTTCTGAAAGCCAAACAAGATAAAATCAATGTCTAAACCAAATGTTTAGTGAGTGGAGTTTATTGTTTATACCAATAGCCCTGACTGCGCTCTTTTGAATTTCATCATTTGTTCATCATGCTTTCTGCTGTTGCACTGTGAAGGAGTGGTGTAACACATAAATATGTGTATCTGCATTTGTGTGAGTCTGAGTTTGCTTATTGTTATTTTTTCCCCATTTATTCAGCTAATTCATATAAGGTTACGTCTTTATTCATACTGCCTAAAACAAGCTACGCCTGAGTTTTTCATGTCTGAATCAGACTATATACCAACGAAAGTGTCAAACCTTCCTCATGAGTTCCATGAAAAATCAAACTTTATTCAAATCAGCAAGAATACAATATTATTAAAAGTTCTCTCAGAGGTACAAAAACCCAATTTAAGGTTTTTGTGACTTTGTATCCTGCAGGATGGAACATGTCTATTGAACAACGGTTTCGCTGTGCACGTTAACAAAAGCTCGGGAAGGTTATTGGGGTGCCGGAGTATTATGACTTATGATGGCAAATTTGTTGGCACCGGGGCCAGGCCCTGCAGCCGCCAATAAACAGTGAGCCAACTTTGCAATTTTCCGAGCACAGCACCTGCTGGATGCTAATCACCCAGAATTTGTGTGTGTGCTTTATATATTGAATTACTGGCTTCCACGGGCAATAGACGTTTTGATGCATGCAAAGTCTCCAAAGTACAATTACTGCAGGGTTGAGTTTTTTTATTCTTAGTCATTCAGGTAATCCTGTTTTACAAGGCAGCATTTCTCAAGGACAAAAAGGCCTGTAATTGCTTGCTAATATACTGAACACTAATTACACATAAAATAGTGTGTGCTGGTGTTTGATCTAATGAGCTAATATTATAGATCTTCTATGTCAATAACTGCCAATACAATGACGTTTTCAAAGTTGTTTAAATCTTATCTGAGCAGTTTAGTGCATCAACTTATTTAATATACGAAAAAACAAAGTATGTTTAGCCTGGCACATAGTAGATCCCACCAGGATTTAAACCCTGCATTGTGATACTGTATATCCAAATAAAGAAAAACGCCATTACTTTCAGCTGTAACTAAAAGTTGCAAGATAAGCTGACTTGCCCCAACTATTTAGTCATACAGGAATTATTTCAATAAAGTCATTCTGTCTTCTGCCTTGTGTTTGAAAACAAATGTTGGAGTTCACAAAGGTGGTAAAATCAGTCAGCTGCTCAGTGGCTTCCATCTTTGTCTGTTTCATTGAGGAAGAAACGTGAGCACCAGCCAGCACATCTAATCTGCTCTTTGTTGGGGTTTCAGGTTGTCCAGGAGCCAAGCTCTGGTGACTCATCATCACTGAGGAGGGGAGATGCCAGACATAGAAGTGGTGTTTGTCAGCGAGAGTGAAAATTACTATCCGCAGGGCCCCTCACCAGCATATTTTATTTACAAACATCCTCCCGTCTTGCTAGCTGTCTGTTTTCCAGTTAGGTGGCTAGCTAATAGAGTGGCTGGGTATTTGATTTGCAGACAAACCATATTGTCCAACACTCGGTGAAATGTGTGTGTATGTGTACGTTTTTGGAAAACTGATCCCACTCAGTTGCACATCCCTCGGATTGCACGTTCATTATGCCTATTTCTAATAATTATACAGTATTTTTTGTTATAGTCTAATTGTACTTTGTCATAGTTGGGGAAGTGATGCTTCACTTGACAAAGACCCACATGTTATGTGTCTTTCTTTTTTCCCCTAGATATTAATCACTAGAGAGAATCGTGTCTGGAAATCAATTTTCTGACAAGTATCACTTGTTCAGATACAGTACATAAAACTGTGATAAGTGGGGCATCACATTTTAACAAGTCTACCAGGACCTCTGTTTGTAAAGCAACATATTAACAGTGACAAGTCTAGCTGCTTACATTGCAGATTAATTAATGTGTTAGTTTCTTTTAAGAACTCATTATTGATAGTTTGGTCTTTTTACAGCTGTGTTTTAGAGTTCCTGGAGTAATGATGTAAAATCAATGTTAGATTTTAACGTTTTTTAAACGTATTTGTTTTCATGCATGTTTTTGTTATTAGCAATGCCGGTGCCAGACCAGCCAGCGGAACAGGAGAAGGGGGCGATGGTTGCCCCCGTGATGCCTGCCTCCAACGGCGACAGACCTGAGACGGAGACCACCTCATCCATCCTCGCGTCTGTCAAAGAGCAGGTAATAACCCACTCAAGTATATATCAAATAAATGTGTGCTGAAGTTGTTCCAGGTCTTGTTAATGTTTAATTTTTCATGGATTGGGAACATTTATTTTTTTTCCTTTTGCTTTTTCTTGCCCTTGGTCATCTTCTCTCACCCCATATCTTGTGAACAGCTTGCGAGGAGACAGGGCTAAAGGCTGTCAATGTTATTCAGAGAAACAGGCGGTGTGCAGGAAACCAGGGATTGATTGGTGCCAAGGGACTGGAAATGTAATTGAAGGAAATGATGGAGATTACGGGGTGAGAGCTGTATTTAGTATAGGCATAATTCAAAGGGCTATTTAAATCAAGGCAGTTGCTTTACAGCAGGTGTTGGAAGGTGACTGTACTGCAGGAATAAAAAATAAAAATAGACAGGCTTGTTGCAGGAATAGTAGTGGTAGCTTTTAGGATTCATTGTCATGCTATGTTGAGCTGCAATAAAATGCAGAGAAAGACTAAATTATGTTTTGCAGCTCCAGTCTTCTGCTGTGACTCTAATGTAACATTTTGGGTCAATATGATGGAAGAAGACAGCGTTTTGGTATAGATTGTAATGAGACAGATGTAAATGGTCAGAGGAGAGATCTAATCCGATTTAATCCTGGGATTGTAAGTCCTTACCTGAAAGGAATCTAACTTAACTTGGCATGAAGGTTACAAAATGTAGAATCTGCCTATTTTATGTTGCAGTTCACATGGGAAACAATGTTTGCTTTTATTCAACATGTCTTTATAGTTACAATCTCAAAGTGTTCTGGTAGGTTAACTGATTTATTCCACATAACATCCTTGCTCTTCAGAAAACAGACATTTTTGGGAAACTACCATTGCAAAATGCCATTGACTGAAACTGTAATGCTTGTTCTTTTTGGCCAAATAAATACCCACGTTAAGCGGATTAGAATTTCATGCACGGCAGTGAAAATAGCGTTCAGATAATGGCTGAGAACAAAAATGCTGCTTCCTAGAAAAGAAAGACTGAGATTTAGCCAGCTATAGATTCAACCGTGTATCACATGAAATTGTCTTCTGATGAAAAAAAAAAAAAATGTTTTTTCAGCATCAGACAGACAACGTGGATGTGTTTACAATGCTAACTGCTGTGTCATGGTTGCTTGTATATGTGCATGTGGCATATCTTTGCTTTACAGTCTTTTTTGTTTTCCATGTTGATACCTTGTGGAGTGGCCAAAACTCCTGTTCAACCCAAAATCATTTATACCCCTGACAAAATTTACATAACTAGATTACGCAGAAAAAAATACTGTTCCCCATTACATATACTTGTGCTATTTTGTGCAACATAATTATATAATACTGTTATTAAATGGTGTTGCTCTAATCATTTGATGGTTTTTCCCAGCACTGCTCCATGTTGCTCATTCGTCATTCTGTAACAGAGATGCCAGATATTTGCTCATTCAAGTTTAATTGTTCTGCTTTGAAATCTAACCCAGTCATATAGTAAGTAAGTAAGTAAAAAAAAAGAAAGTACAGCCCATTTTACACATTATTGTAAAAATATTTTTTTTCTTTTTTGCCATTACTTTACAGTTTATGCCAAAACAAGATTTTCACAAACTTACACTTTAGCTATGCCTTGATTAATTAACTGTGTTGTGTGCTTTTGTACATGAAAGTATGATGTGCAGTGAGATTACATAGTAATATTGTGTTTTACCCAGCTAGTTTATGAGGTTATTTCAAAATATTTGGTCTTTTTTGCACTATCATAGTAAAAGATAGGTTTTTGTGAAAACTATGCTATGTGTAATTGATCAAATAAACCACTGAACTCTGAAATCAACACTAGCAGTTGCTCCAAACTGACAGAAACCATAACAAAATGCATGCTACTCCTAAATAAAATCATATGCTGTTTGTGATGCACCTAATTTTTCACAAACCTTTCCATCTGGCTTCATCTGTATTGCGTGGATTTGTCTAGGTATGTATGTGCAAGTTCTTGCTGCTGTTGCAGAAGGATGATGTAAATGGGTGATAAAAGATTTTTATTTATTTTTTTAGAGTTCACAGAATCTCTAACGCTGACTGCCCAGGAGTGCATATGCCTGTTTGTATTGCTCCAGTAACCCAGCAGTCTGGCTCCCACCATGACACATCATCATGCTTGGCCAGCACCTCTCTCTGTGGCGTCTCTTTTCATGTGCACACATCTCAGCAATATATGCATGTCTTAGAATTCATGGATATCCATAATTTGTGCATATCTTTGCGGTTACATCAATTTAAATTTATGTTGCAAATGGACAAAGGACAAGAAAAATAATGTGGTTTGATCTTGTTGACAGTACATGTCTATGGCTGTCAAATTACCTCAACTAGCTAAATAGAAAAACATTAATCTGTAAAGAAAAGTTTTTCAGAAAATCTAGAAGGCAGATTTTATTTTTTCTCTGCAGTTGGGAATAAATAATTTCTGTTCCTAATTTAGTGTTCAATTTATTTATTAGTCCACCAACAAACACATTGTGACAACATAAGCTGTACAAATTTAATTAAAAGCTAAACGACAATTTTTTAAAAAATGTTCACCATTAGTATCCATCATTATTTTTGGTGCAACCCTGGAAAGTTTGTTCCTGGGACTGGTACAGGAAGTGGAAGTAAAATCTGTGTAAAGACCAAGATACAGGTGCCAGAGTGGAGGCTCAGCTCACAGCAACATTTCTTTGTATTCTGCTGCAAGTAAACTTAAAATATTAATTGAACACCTGGCATCCCTCAATCAAAGAACAAAGAAGGCTGTGTTTGCCCATAGGAATGGAATTTGCAGCTTCTAAGAATTTCACATCAAGCCTGCAGCATGTCGAGTGTAGTTAAATGTATGCATATGCTGTTGTGGTGCAAATTGAAGGCTACTTTATTTCAGTTAGGGACTTTGGTAAATTAGGATTTGCTTCGCTTTGCAATGTGCTTAACTGGCATATCTGATAATATCTGATTATTTCATAACTTTACCACATAATCCTTCAAAATGTTTTGCCTAGTCTTGCAAATATCTAGTTAAGCTTAATTTTATTTTTTTCTCAAATCAGATTTGATCATTGATTATCTTCAACCATCTTAGATAAAATGTCTTATAGTAGCAGTTCTGTGCATTAGATGGATATCACTGATTTGGATTTTTTATCCTTTCGTGCAATATGTCTTTGGAAGCTGGTTTTTGTGTTGTTCCTTGCAAACAAATGGGTTGTTTTCCTGCAATCAACTTTACCAAATTAATTAATATGACATAGTTTGATCTGCCAAAACTCACCATACATTGACAATTAAGATGGCAAATACTAGTTATTTTGTCTCATCACAAAGCAATATTATACTGAAATAAAGCACCCCCTTTATTGCCTTGACATGCACATGAACAATTTTGCATATAATTCCTTCAATAGCACACCTTAACATAGGTAGCTACTGATGCCAAGGGCACAGTGATTGTGACGATGATTGCAATCCGATGTTATGGTCGACTCTAAATATGAATGACATATTCATATTGATCTGCATGTCCAATATGCAGATCACATATTAATGTGATCTGATGGAAAAAGAGAAAGCATAATATACTCCTTATGATCTCTTTCATGAGCCAAGCAATTTTTGCCAGCTCTCTGGTATCAGACACAGTGGAAATCTGGAACCAAATATTCAGATTTCTTTTTTAAACTCTCTTGCATTATGACCACCAATGAAATTAGTAATACTGGTTATCTCTTCACTGCAGCTCTTGACCTTAAGTCAGAATTCTTTGGCAGAAAATTTACATGTTGTTATCAAAATAATGTAGATGCATCATAAGCTTGAAAAACAGATAGAGGAATTTTGACAGGGACCAGTTTGTGATTGCCAGACATCTTCCCCATCTGCAGGGCCAGTATGCATAAAAAGAAAAGAACCGTGATAAACTGGAGACAGGATCACTGCTCATTAATGCAAATTGAGAGAAAAAAGCTGAGTCATGTCGTCCAACAGAAGAGTCTCTGATGTGAACGCTACAGTGACAAATACCTAAACATTGTGCTGACCACATACATCCTAATTGACATAGTAATATTTGGTTATGGCGTCGGTTTCCAGTACTAAGATGATGCACTTATCGCATGTGCATTGTCCAATACATATTGATTAGAAAGCATGCTGTATTTTTTATGTTTTGGGATTGAATATCTATAAAACCTGGTCACTTAATTGGAAAAAAAGATGTGCTCCACATTTGCTGAAGAACATCAGAAGGTTTTCTCCCCTTCTTTATTCTTTTTTCTTTTTATTAAGATTATTTAAGAGCTCTATTACTGCACCAAGTAAAGCCTTTTGAGTTTTTCTAGACGTTTTGCACCGTCTTGCATCATCTCATAAATTGCCCGAGGAGAGCTCCAGTAAAATCAATTTAGCGAGTGCTGTTAGGCTCTCAAATCTATCGGTTTTCTGGATGTTTTAGTTTATTCTGATTGTAGGTCCTGTTTTACGTCTGGAACAAGATCTTGCAATGTAACGTTATCCATGACAAAGTTTTATTTTTATGCCTGATCTTAATTTAATACTGCGATAATATATTTAACTTCCTCGTCAGTTTGATGATATTTTTCTGTTTGAGAATGTCAGGTTATTTTTCCAAAGATGTCTATCCGGACAGGTATGCTTTGCATTCTTCATCTTATATTTTGCGTTAAAAAAAAAAAAAAAAAAAAAAAAAAGTCAGAATTGGATAGAACGTTTTTTTTTTTTCTTTTCTTTTTTAGTGGTTGTATTCTGGAAGTCTTACACAAATATGGAATAGAAATATGATTTTTGCTTTCTCACAATTTCTATTGTCATAGTTTTAAGTTTTTGCTGTCAATAATCTGATGGGGATTATTAGTATTTTTAGAACTGCAAATAACCAGTAGTCATATGTTTGCATTCTTAAACAATGCCATTGGTTTCACGCTTTATGAAGGGTTTGTTTTTTAGAA